AATGAAACACAGAGAGGAAATTTACCACAGATTACCTTAAATTTCTGAGAAGAAAAAGGTGAACTTATTGAAATGAGATGAGCTCCAACGTGCTGGAAGATGTTAGAGAGGTAGGGAAGATTCTAAAAGGCAAATAGGATAGAGGTTTAGGAAAAAAGATAGATAAAAAGATTGCAAAGAGCATACAAGACTATGCTGAGTTTGTATAACATAGTTTCTGTTAAGGATCCATTTCTCCATTAGCCACACTAGAAACACCAGAATAATTTTTGCCATTTCTCCTTTCTCTATTCTCTAAGCCATGCTAAATTAGTCCCATGAATTACTTTCCTGGTTTCTCTAGTATTCATTCTTTTCACTGACACCCTAGTTCTGGCTCTTTTTTCTGTTCGTCTGGACATCAATATGGTCTTCTAATTAATCTGCTATCCATTCTAAACTGTGTTGCCAAATTCTTTTTCCTAAGGCACCACTTTGATCATGTCACTATTTTTTGCTATAAAATCTTCAAAGGCACCGCTGCCCTCTGAATAAAAATTTGGACTGTGTTTCACCTGAAATTCAAAGTCTTACCTATTTCTCCAGCTTTTTGTCTTATGATATAGCTGTACTAAATTATCTGTTATTTCCAACAAACTTTCATTTTATTGCCTCTTACTTAATCATTAATGAAAACACTTAGTGAGTACCTACAATGTGGCATTAGTCTAAATGACAGGGATAAAGTCACTTTCCTTCAACCTAGGTTCATGGAAATCTGATCACCTTCATACAAATCCATATAATGAAGTTTCTGAACTTTCCAAGTTGAAGATCAGACCTCAGATAGAGGTAAAATCACTATGGTACAGTCGCTTAGGAAGTTTTACCTGAAATAACCAACTGCCATCTATGTTCAGAACATTATGGAATGGATTATTTGCACGAGGTTCAGAGAGAACACAGAAAACCAACCACAGAAAAATGTGTGAGAATCAGATTGAAATGAGTGAAAAAGGTCTAATTTGTCCTGCACAGAACAATTTCCCTCTGCTTGGGAAAGGATAAGTGATCTGTACCACAAGAATGGATCTGTACCACAAGAATGGAAAGTTAAAATTTCCCTGTGCTTTGGTTGAATGCTTTTGTACGTAGAACATGCATTTCATCCCTTTGACAAATATTTTAAGTATCTACTAACAGGCCCTGTGCTTGATGTATATGTCAATTTGAGATGGAGCTCCTGAAAAGGCCCAGAGTCAGAGAAATGAACCTATGAACATTTAATAGTATTGTTTATGGTATTTATGTTTCTCCATGAATAAAATCAATGCCTAACTGTTAATAACAGTTAACACTTATTGTGACCTTTCTATGAGCCAGGTACCATTCTAAATATTTTGCTCAAATAATTAAAAAAAAACAACTTCAGATTTTACATTTAAGGAAACCAAGGCACAGTGCAGTGAAATAATTTGCCTGAAATTGCACATTAAATTGAGTGGTGAAGCCAAGATTTGAAGACAGGTAGCCTGACTCCAGAATTTTGTTCTCAACCCTATACAAACCTCACAGTAATTCTGGAAGGTAGGTATTTTTACCTCTACTTCATAGATTAAAAAAAAAAAAATGAGGCTCAGAGAAATTAAATTAACTTGCTAGAGTAATACAGCTTGCATGAACTAGGATTACGATTCAAACCTAAAGACCATATCCTTTAATACGTCAGTTATGAGAAGAGATTTAATTTCTCTCATAATCTTTTACAATGCCTCGCCTAGTACTAAATGTTTTAAAAATGGTATTATTATCCTTAATTATTGCTACTAATAATGTAAGAACATTGAAGTTTAGCTCCAATTTACCTTTCACAGGAAGTTACTTGAGGTTGTACCACAACATAAAAAAAGTATAAACTAAGGCGGAAGATGTGGGTCCAGGAAATAGTGACTCGTACCCTAGAGAATAGTGAAAGGAAGTCCCAGTGCAAAAGCCTTATAGTAGTCATAGAAATTGGAGCAGGACAGTGAATTTTTGGAGTGGTCTTCATGGAGAAAACTTTGCAATCTAAAAATTAATACAATGAGACTTTAGAGATATGATAAAGGAATCTGGTAGCATGTAGTAAAGATGTCACTGAATTGCCTCTAGCACTGTTCTTGAACAAAGGGCATTAGGGTCATGATACTGTTGTCCTAGAGAAGGAAATGTTATCCTAGCAGACAGTTCTATAGTAAATATTAACATAGGAATAATTGAAATGCTTTTTATTACTGTATTTCACCGATTGTAAGACTTTCCCCCCCATATTTTAAACCTCTGGATGGGATGCATCTTACAATCAATGGTGTGTCATGGTTTATTTTCTTTCTTAATAATACATAAAATAATAGTGCATCTTCTAATCAATAGCATGTTAGATTTGATCAACTATGTGTGTCACAAAGTTTTATATGCTTTATAATATTACTCTAATTTAATCTTCCTAACAGTTTCATGTAGCTGATGCTATTACTATTTTATAGACAAGGAAATTGAGGCTAAAAGATGTTAAACAAGGCTTCCCTGGTGGCACAGTGGTTGAGAATCTGCCTGCCAATGAAGGGGACATGGGTTCGAGCCCTGGTCTGGGAAGATCCCACATGCCGTGGAGCAACTAGGCCCGTGAGCCACAACTACTGAGCCTGTACGTCTGGAGCCTATGCTCCCCAATAAGAGAGGCCGCGAGTGAGAGGCCCGCACACCGCGATGAAGAGTAGCCCCCGCTCGCTGCAACTAGAGAAAGCCCTCGCACAGAAACGGAGATGCAACACACCCCAAAATAAATAAATAAATAAATTAATTAATTAATTAAAAAAAAAATGTTAAACAATATGCTCAAGCACTGCTGTCAACTAAGTGGCAAAGCTAGAATTGAAAACCAGGTCTGGGGAATTCCCTGGTGGTCCAGTGGTTAGGACTCAGTGTTCTCACTGTCAGGGCCCTGGGTTCAATCCAGAAACCTCGTGGCATGGTCAAAAAGAAAAAAAACAAAAAGAAAACCAAGCCTTACTTCAAAGGTCATGTTCTGTTGTACCTCAACATTTACCATGGGTGATACAAAGCTGAATAAAAACCATCGAAGTTGAATAGTTCAAGTGGGATGCAGTTTTTCCAACTCCTCCAGAAAGAACCAATCTTGCCCTCATCTGTGCTCCCATAACATTTTATGAGTACCTCTGTGGATGTAAAATGTCACCTGCCATATCAGCAAACATAGGATATTGTGGCCATCAAGCCATCAGCCACTACATCAACCCTGAGGCAACTCAGGATAGAGAAAAACAGGCTGCTGGTCACCAAGCTGTCAGCCACTGCAGCTGTCCCCAATGATGCATACTGAGGGGATTCAGGATGGAGTAAAAAACAGGATACTAGCCCTAGACAGTTAAGGTGCGTATCAAAGGAAGGATTTCAATAAGCCCAAACTCTTGCATCTTCCCATACACAGCTAAATTCATTAACTTGAGATGTCTGTTTTTTCTTCAATTAGCAGTAATCTTTTGATTGCCAACGACCTGGTTTTTGTTGCAAAAACTCCTATATGTCCTTGCTCCTCCCTTACCTCTTTGGAGCAGTGTCTCAGAGCTGAAAGGCTGCCTCCCGAGCTTAAGGCCTCAGAAAGTCTGCGCGGAATAAAATATAACTCCCAACTTTCAGGTTGTGCAATGTTTTTCAGTTGACACCTCTAGTATATGTTGTTATAATGTATAACTTACAGGGAAGTCAGTAGTAGTATCTTAATCACTCTTCCCAACCTTAACAGTGCCTACCACTGATCCTGACACATGAAGAGAAGCTCAATATCTGTTAAAAGGAAACAGGGTCTCTGCCACTAAGTGTAAAGAGGAGACAAGAAATGCACATATAACTAATAAAGGCCAAATATAGTGTTATAGGAAAATTATAAATAAAATGCACTGGAGTTTAGGAGAAAAGAAAAACAAACGATAGAGAGTACAGGTCAAGGGGAAACAGTTCAGTCAGCTTCCAGGATTTTCCTACACACTCACACAGACACAGTCTGGAAAAGCTGAAAAGGCTGAAACCAAGCTAATGAGACAATTTCTCTACCCATTTTAAAATTTAATAAGTTACCAGCATTTATAGACTGAACTTTTAAAATTTCATATAAAATCAGGATTTTTGGTTTTTCTTGAAAAATGGGAAGGTATTGGAAACTGGGTGCTCATTCTCCAAGGGAAATTGGTTGGATGTAGCAATTGTTCCCTTCAGATAAAGTTAGTGCTCCCTTGCTCATCGTAGTACCTCCCACCATTTTCTTACACCCACCCAGTGTAAAATATACCTGACCATGATGGGTATTTGGGTTTAGGACCCCTTCTCAAGACAAACCGCTCACTGCTCTATTACACACCGGGTATTTTCAAGCACCGTGTCTCTGCCTGGAAAGACTTTGCTTTCTACAAAAGCACTCAGACTTCTCTAAGCGACTGTTTCAATTCCTTCTACTAGCTTTCTCTGACCATTCCTTCAACCGGGTCACCGCAGCATTAAAACCCCAATCACACCGTATGTACAAGTTTTTCTCTTTTACTAGTATGTGAGTGCCTGGAAGCCAGCGGCCCACGATTCATTGACGTTCGCGCCCCAAATCCGTGGCCCGGCATCTAAACACAGGCATTCGGTACGTGTGTGCCGAAGTCAATCTCCCCACTTTACGCAAACCTAGGCTAAACTACCTACTCGACCTTAGATGTGGGACTGAGACAGAAATGCAGACGAGTCAAAACAAGTGGACTCTGGTCGAGAAGAAAGAACACGCCACCACCACGACGAGCAAACGCTACCGGACGACGTTCCGCCGTCGTAACCCCGTTTCAGCGGCTCCAGTCCCAACTCTCGCGAGATTCGGCCTGAGCGCCAGCCCATAAGCCCCAGAGGCACGCAGCTCGGTTTCCGCGGGATTCTCGCGGTAGCGCGACACGCCAGGAGGAGCACTTCCGGCGCTGCCCCCAGAAAGCGGAAGTGAGGCTTCTAGGCTGAGAGTGTCGGTGTGTTACTCGGCTGTCTTGAAATCTAGGAAGTCGTTTTCGTTTCACTTTTCCTGGCTTTCGAGCGCTTCCCCTCTGGCGGGTGGGAGTGCAGAGACTGAAGCGCAAGATGAGCACCATGTTCGCAGACACGCTGCTCATCGTGTTTATCTCCGTGTGTACGGCTCTGCTCGCCGAGGGTGAGAGCGGCTGCTTCTCTGACGTTTGATCAGTCCCCGAGGGAAGGATCCTAGGCCCTGGGTCCCTTGAGCCTAGGGAGAGGTCGCGAGCCTTGGCGGGGTTGGGATTGGGGTTCATCTCCATTCCAGGGAATCTTACCTCCAGGAGCGGGAGGGGTAGTGTGAAATCGATTGCCGAGGTTTCTTCGGTCTAGGGGAGGTTTCACTTGTGTGTTTGTGAAGACACCTTCGTATCGTGTCACAGTTTTGGTTGAAGATTCAGTTGTCTTAACGTTTGAAAAAAGTTAACTATTGGTGAATACAAAGCAAAAATTGAAATCCATTGTTATCCAACGGTAACCACTAATAAAGGCTGTTGTGACCGTTTCAAACATTTCTCTATTAGCATGCTGCTTTTAATGTTTCAGGTATAACCTGGGTCCTGGTTTACAGGACAGACAAGTACAAGAGACTGAAGGCAGAAGTGGAAAAACAGAGTAAAAAATGTGAGTATGGGGCTTCCCTGGTGGCGCAGTGGTTGAGAGCCCGCCTGCCGATGCAGGGAACAACGGGTTCGTGCCCCGGTCTGGGAAGATCCCACATGTCGCGGAGCGGTTGGGCCCGTGAGCCATGGGCGCTGAGCCTGCGCGTCCGGAGCCTGTGCTCCGCAACGGGAGAGGCCACAACAGTGAGAGGCCCGCGTACCGCAAAAAAAATAAAAATAAAAAAAAAAAAGTGAGTATGGCAACATCCTTTAAAAACAGTTTTAATACATCAGGCTCACTGAGTGCATGTTCACAGTACATATTTTAGGAGCATCAACTGGTGTAAAAACTTCATAGGAATACAAAGGTGAATGTGACTAGAATTGAAGTCTGTTTAGAAATATAAGATTTATTTTTTAAAGAAAACTTTTTTTAATAAATTTATTTATTTATTTATTTTTGGCTGCATTGGGTCTTCGTTGCTGCGTGCAGGCTTTCTCTAGCTGCGGCGAGCGGGGACTACTCTTCATTGCGGTGTGTAGGCTTCTCATTGTGGTGGCTTCTCGTTGCGGAGCACGGGCTCTAGGCACACAGGCTTCAGTAGCTGTGGCACGCAGCCTCAGTAGTTGTGGCTTGCGGGCTCTAGAGCGCAGGCTCAGTAGTTGTGGCACACGGGCTTAGTTGCTCTGCAGCATGTGGGATCTTCCCAGACTAGGGCTTGAACCCGTGTCCCCTGCATTGGCAGGTGGAGTCTTAACCACTGCACCACCAGGGAAGTCCCGAAATATAAGACTTTTATGCAGAATATGTAATACAAACCTCAGTGGAGTGACTGACAAGAGAGGTACTTATGTGCTGTGGTGGTTCTAAAGAAGAAACCCCATTCAGTTGTGAGGGGCCATGGAAGCCTTTGTGATGCAGATAGCCTTGCAGTCCTTCATGCGTAGTTAGAATTTGGACAGAGGATGAGATGAGGAAGGAGTTCCAGGCAAAGGAAATAGCATATGTGCAAAAAGGGAAATTTTAACTAGTAAGGTGTGTTTGGAGAACAACAGGTCATAATGATTGGTATCAAGGTAACTGGTGTCTTCAGGGATAAGCCAACTTTCATTTGGGTCTGATGGTTGAAGGAATATTTGAGGAAAAGTTTAAGAACAAGTCAAGTTTGTTGTTTTTGAAATAAAACAGAAATTCCACAGGATACAGCTGAGGGGGCTGCTATAGGTATAATGTGAATGGTTCCTTACAAGCTTGATTTGGTTTTCCGTCTCCTTTTCTGCCTTATAAAGATTAACTCTAACTTTCACATCTTAAAATTCTTGTGACTTTCTGTATTCTATGACTTTTCTGTATGTCTTCATAAGAGTTTGAAGTTTGCTTTCTTACAACATCCCATTTCTAATATCCACCTGTATTCTTCAGAAAGTCTTTCTGTATTCTTCAGAAAGTCTTGTGACTTTCTGTATGTCTTCATAAGAGTTTGAAGTTTGCTTTCTTACAACATCCCATTTCTAATATCCACATAGTAATAATTTGTGGTCAGTTGTGTAAAATTATTTTCCTTTTCTAGAAAAGGAGACTGAGACTCAGAAAGGTTAAATGATGTATTAATGTCTCAGAGCAAAGAAAGAATTAGAAACCAAATTCAGGCCTTTTAAGTTACGGTTTACTGTTCCTTCATTTATTCAATGTTGTTAATGCACCTCAACATATTTAAAACCAAACTCATTATCTTTACCTTCACAGATGTGATCCCTTTCCAGTATTTCCCTATTCGGTGAATGGTACTTCCTTGCTTCCAATGGTGCAAGCCAGAAACCTTACTATACTTTCTTCATTTGGCTTTCAGGACACCACACTCTCTTGGTTTTGCGCTTACCTTGTCAATTGGTCGTTCTTTTGTAGTTTCCTTTTTGGTTCCTCTTCTTGACCTCCTGTTGTGGGGAGTGACTCAAAATTTATTTTTTTTCCTCTATACTCCCTTAATGAACTCATTCATGTGCTCTATTTGCCAGTGACCCCCAAATTTATATCCTTAGCCCTCTCTGCTAATGCAAGATTCAAATATCCAACTATCAACTTGTTAATTCCACTGGAATGTCTAATGTATATATCAAACCCAACCTGTCCAAATTGAACACTGTTCCTCACTTCCAAGCCTGCTACATTAGTAGCCATCACAGTGTCTTGGTCAGTGTTAATCCTGTACTTGTGTAGGACATAAGGACATAATCCTTGTGTAGTTATCTTTGACTCTTCTCTCACAGCCCACATCCAGTACTGTTGGGCTGCCTTCAAATATATCCAGAATCTGCCCACTTTACATCACCTCCACTGCTAACTACCATAGTCCAAGCCACCATCATCCTTTGCATGAATTATTGTGATAGCCTCCAACAAGTGGTTGTGTTTCCCTGTAATCTGTTCCCAAGATAGCAGCCAGAATAATCTTTTTAAAGTACATCAGGGGCTTCCCTGGTGGCGCAGTGGTTGAGAGTCCACCTACCGATGCAGGGGACACGGGTTTGTGCCCTGGTCCAGGAAGATCCCACATGCCGCAGAGCGGCTGGGCCTGTGAGCCATGGCCACTGAGCCTGCGCATCCGGAGCCTGTGCCCCGTAACGGGAGAGGCCACAACAGTGAGAGGCCCGCGTACCGCAAAAAATAAAAAATAAAAAAAAATAAGTATATCAGATCATGTCCCTTCTCTGCTCATAACTCTGTGATGGTGTCCCATTTTAATTCGGAGGAAAAGCCAAAGTTTTTACAGTGGCCTACAGAGGTCCCCTGTTACGGCTCTGATCTTCTTTCCCTCTCATTCACTCTGCTCCACCCTCACTGACCTGTCTGCTGTTCCTTATTACACATCAGCCTCACTCCTGGGACCTATCTAATGGCTGTTCCCTCTACCTAGAATGTTCTTCTCTGTGATATCTGTTTACCTAACCCTTGTATCTTCTTCAAATCTTTGTTCACAGCTCACCTCAGTGAGTCTTAACTTGACCACCCTATTTAAAACTGCAGTTAGCCTACCTCCTGTACCACTGCCGCTCCTCATCTTCCTTATCCTGCTGTTTTGTTTTGTTTTCATTCATCTGCTACAATGAACGCTTCACTAGGGCAGGGTTCTTTTTTTTTTTTTATCGTTGTTGTTTACTGATGTATCCCATGCACCTAGAAAAGTGACTGGCACATGGGAAATGTCTAATAAATAATTGTTGATTCAAATACTTCCTTCTATCTCCCTGTATGTGCAGTCCACTCTCAAGCCCTGATCCTGTTGTCCTCCTGAAGAGTTTTCAGTCTTTCCACATCTCTTCATTTCCACCACCATCACTTAGCCTAAACTTCTATCACATTTCATTTGATTTACTGTGATAGACTCCTCATTGCTCCACCTGCAGCCACTCAAATTTATTCTGTTCAGTAACACCTGGAGTAGTTTTTCAAAACACAAATCTGATTGTGTTATTTGCCCTTCTTAAAACACTCAATTTCTTCCCATTGCTTTGAGGACAAAGGTGTGTCCTACAAGGTCTAGCGTGGTCGGGTACCTCCCTCTCTCCCTCTCTGACCACATCTGCGTCATGTTTTTCCCTCCTTTCTATTCTCTAGCCATCCTCTGAACTAATCTTGCTTTTTCCTACTGTGGAGCTGGGCTTTTGTATCTACTTTTTCCTCTGTCTGGAATAATTTTCCCTTCTCATTTGTCTAATAAACTCCTAGTCATTCTTCAGATCTCAAAGCCTTATTTAGTCTCCCCAGCAGGATCAAATCTTTAGATCATGGACCTTAATTTATCCAGATACTTCTCCTTAGAGAACTTATCATAATTACAATTTTTTCTATGTATGATTATTATTCAAATAATGTCCTCTCCCCAACTCAACTGTAATTTCTATGAGGGCAAAGGCCCTTGTGTCTCTAGCACTTAACACAGGTCCTGGCACAGATTCACTACTTGATAAAAGCATGTGGAATAGCTTAAAGAATAAATGATCTCTATCACATAACATCACATGTATTCTTTGTGAGGAATTGTTCTGCTATGATCATAAACTAGTTAGCCAGCATGCAGTGGCATCCAAAGACAAATTTCATATCACATGTATCATGGAGTAGTCTTATGAAATACAAAACACCTTTAGTTTCTAATTTGTTTGGATTAATATTCTCATACCTTAAATACTTATATGAATTTGCTCTGTAAATTTTGGGCTTCCTTAGTATCCACAACTAATTGCCTTGTTTCTAGTTATCTGTATTATAGAAGTTAAGTCTCCTTCACCTGACACCTAAATTCAAAGTAATAGTTGCCAGGCAAAGCTTCCATGGTTGTATTTTTTAATATAATTGACTAATGTGCTTGCTTTGAAGATAAGTATGAGGTAGGTTGGTGACGATTGGAATGTCTCATGGCATTTCTTATGGTCTTAGGTCCTCTATTTCAGGTAATCTATCGAAACTCAGTGAACATGCACAGACATAGAAAACAGATTTATGATTAGCAAAAGGGAAGGGTCGGGGGAGGGATAAATTAGGAGTTTGGGATTAGAAGATACAAACTACTATATATAAAATACATAAACAGCGAGGTACTACTATATAGCACAGGGAACTATATTCAATAGCTTGTAGTAAACTATAATGGAGAAGAATCTGCAAAAGAACTTATGTATATATGTATAACTGAATCACTTTCCTGTACACCAGAAATTCACACAACATTGTAAATCAACTATACTTCAATTAAAAAAAAAACACAAGAACTCAGTAAGCATGTATTATTTTCATTTATATGATCAGTTGACACATGATTGCTCGCTGTAGAGGTCACCATGATGAGTGCAGTACACAATGAACGGGCATAGATACTGTCTTCTAGATATTTGTAATCAAATGGATAACTATTATTTAGCATGGGATATTTAATAGGAAGAAATAAGGTAAATTCCCTCTTTGAACAAACGTCTTAATTGCAAACATAATCCCTTCTGACATTCTGTGTTCAAAATTTCATATGGATCCAGGCAAGAAAAGTTTGTAGGGACCAAATTTATAGATGGCCCATGGGAATTCCCTGGTGGTCCAGTGGTTAGGACTCCACGCTTCCACTGCAGGGGACACGGGTTCAGTCCCTCGTTGGGGAGCTAAGATCCCTCAAGCTGTGCAGTGTGACCAAAGAAAAAAAGAAAAAAAAAAGAGAGAGATGGCCCAGGCATAGAACTTGTACATAACTATGATTAACATGTTAAAGGATCTAGTGGAAAATGTAGACAATATGCATGAACAGATGGGGATTTTCAGGAGATGGAAACTATAAAAAAGTGTCACATGGAAATGACAGAAATAAAAACATATCAGACATAAAGGATCCTTTGAGGAAGTTATCCGATATGCAAGCCCTTAAAAAATTTTATCTCAGCCAACTATTGGAAAATACACTACACCAAGACAAATGAGTAAACCAAAAAAAAAAGGAAGATATGAACTCCAGGAAACAGGAGCTCCAACACAGGACTCAGGTGAAGGGAATCGCCCGGACGATGATGAAGGCAGATTTAGATCTGATATTCTTAGGAATGTCGGCTGTGCACCAGGCTGAGCTTGTAAGAGGGTGCTAGGAGAAACTTCTTCAGGAAAATTTATAATGTGTAATGATCTGACTTTGTACAGGAAAGATTTAGACAGCTAACTAAGAATTTGGGGCTGAATTATTGATAAGTACGGAGACAACCAAACATTTTAAAATGCCGTAAATCTAGGAAAAACTTGCAGGAAGTTAAATTGTTTGCTACATAAATTACCTGTGAACAGTATTTTCATGGTCATAATTTTGTAAATGTTGAACTCACATTTAACCAAAATTACAACTATATCAATGGATTTTATGATGTAACTAGCTTATTTCAAGATATAGGGGTTAAAAGAAAAAAAAAAAAACTTCATGGGAGTTCCTTGGTGGTCTAGTGGTTAGGATTCGGTGCTTTCACTGCCATGGCCTGGGTTCAGTCCCTGGTCGGGGAACTGAGATCCCACAAGCCACCGGTGCTGCCAAAAAAAAAAAAAAAAAAAAAAAAAAAGGATATAGGGGTAAATATCAAAATAATCAGCTAAAAGAGGTAAAAGTGGTTGCTCTTTGAAATGAAGGAAATAGGGAGTGGGGGCAAGCATAAGACCATTGCTTATCTTTAAAACTGACTCTTTAAAATAAATGAGTGTTTTACTTTTTTTTTTTTTAAACTATTTTGTACTGGAGTATAGTTGATTAACAACATTATGTTACTTTCAGGTGTACAGCAAAGTATTTCAGTTATACATATACATATATCTGTTCTTTAAAATGTTTTTCAGTGACAACTCTCATTGGATGATCACCAACTTGTAGACTATTAAAATAGTTACTACCTAATATTTTAAACTTATATAAAAATCTAATCTATTCACAACCTCAGGCAAACAAAAATCCTTTATGAGTATAAATAAGTAGGCAGCCACAGTTGAAAAAGTAGAAATTTTCTGTCTGTTGAAACAATTTTGAATCAATCAGTACATTTTGGACTTTGATAGCTAATAATGAATTTAAGGTGACTAAAGTGTATTTTCACACGTTTCAGTGAACAAACCAATCAATAGTAATAAACCAAACTGAAAGGAAACCTTGCTATTTCATCTACTCTTTGTTCTGTAATAAAGCAATGGGAAGCACAGGCTCAAAATGTAAAAGAATAAAATGAAATGAAAAAAATAAAATGATTAAAACCTCAAAAAAAACTTGTAGGGTTTTTGAGGAATACAAAGAAATATAAATATATTTGAATCAGAATTAGGTGTAGATTTCATATCTTGAGCAGATCTGATCCGAGGCATTATTTGGAGAATACTGGTGTTACCTACAAAGCTGTCCTATTGTGGTGGGGCCTTTGACAAAAGATGCTTTCATAAAGGTACCAAGCTGTTTGATTTAGGTGGTCACTAGACTCATGAGTGTGCTCTAAATGTCAGTAAGTCTTTTTTCGTTGTGTCACTTTAATAATGTAGACCAATGAAAGTAAATGATAAGGATTAAAGTACTATATGTAATTGGATTCTTGTAACAAAATTATTTATTTGAGAGCATTTATTAAGTACAAATTATTGTAAAGTATGAAGTATTTCTTTAGTTTACAGTGCAACAGGATAAAGCTTTTAGAGTAATTTATAAACTGACAACTCTAATTCAGAACGCAGCAATACCAGGTCATGGGCAAAAAATGTGTTTCATAGTAGACATCTTTTATTTTTGTCAAGTCTGATATCTCCATTTCTTTTCTTTTTCTTTTTTAGAGGAGGATCTCCCTTTATTTTTTTAAATTAATTAATTAATTTATTTATTTATTTTTGGCTGCCTTGGGTCTTCATTGCTGTGTGCAGGCTTTCTCTAGTTGCTGCGAGCAGGGGCTACTCTTAGTTGTGGTGCGCGTGCTTCTCATTGTGGTGGCTTCTCTTGTTGCAGAGCACGGGCTCTAGGCACGTGGGCTTCAGTAGTTGTGGCACGCGGGCTCAATAGTTGTGGCTCGTGGGCTCTAGAGCGCAGTCTCGGTAGTTGTGGCGCACGGGCTTAGTTGCCCTGCGGCATGTGGGATCTTCCCGGACCAGGGCTCGAACCCATGTCCCCTGCATTGGCAGGCGGATTCTTAACCACTGCGCCACCAGGGAAGTCCAGTATCTCCATTTCTTGTTATGGGGTTAGGTTCTGGTGAATAAATATCAGCAAAAAGAGATTCTTCACAACTTCATGAGGTTAAAAAAACATTAGGTTAATTTATATTATCCCTAGAAAAGATTTATCTAGTCTTAATCCAGTGTGCTAGAAGATCAGGTTAATGTTCATTGTATCATCTTATGTTTCTATTCTCTAGCCTTCTGACTTTTTTTTTTCCCCTTGTTTTTTATGCAGTCGTGGTTAAATGCCAAGTGGCTGTGTTATAGTCCTTCTGAGGTGGGAAAGAAATATTTTTTGTTTCTTTGGTTAATAATAATGATAAAGAATAAAGCATCAATGTTTCTGTCCATTTTGTCTTTTAAAATGTTATTTCTGTAACATCTTGTAGAATTTGATTTAATTTCCTTTTATGATCTCATACTAGTAGTTCATTGTAAATCTCTGTCTTAGGACTTCCCTCGTGGTCCAGTGGTTAAGACTCCAGGCTTCCACTGCAGGGCACATGGGTTAGATCCCTGGTCAGGGAACTATGATCCTATATGCCGCCTGGTGTGGCCAAACAAAAAAAAAAACCCTCTTTTTTCCCCCTATATATGTCATGTTTTATCTTTTTATCTACCTAGAACAGTACCTGTCACTTAGACACCCAATTCACACACACACATTTTATTATAGTCAGAACTTTACCATTTTATTTGTAATAGTGGAGTTACATTGAATTTTACATCTCTTTGATAAAGGAGTAACACCAATTTTGCTTTTAGAATTCGGCATACTTAATATACTAAGGGAAAGATTCCTACCTGCCAATTCTCTTTAATGCAGCTTTTAGAAATAATACATGTGCTGTACTATTTGCTAGTAAAGGAAGTATACTAAGATAATATAAGAAACAGATAATGTAAATAGAGTAAAGGTAATTTTTGGTGTGTCTACTGCTAGTCCATTCATAGGTGATTAAAGATAGTAAATATTAAATATAAATACGTTAACACTATTCTTCAAAACTTACTGTATTGTTATATTAATTGAAAAGCCTCAAAAAAAATTGGTCTTAGCTTTTTTGGCTCTCCTGATCTTCCTACCCTGTGCATGTGTTGCCATTTTTCTATACTATAATTGTTACTTGATTATGTGCCCTCACTAAATTGCTTTTTAGAGGGCAAGGATCATGTTTATCTTTTTATTTACCTAGAATGGTGCCTGTTAACTTAGGCAACCAATAACTGAATGAATGAATGCCCACCTTCTATGGTGAATATGAGAATGGCACTACAATTAATCACCTGAGAGCAGAATTTTAAAATTGTGCTTAGACTCTACCTAAGGCAATCATCCACAGCTAATGGTCTGAAAATCATCTCAGTTTTGATTGTGACTTTGTGTTTATAAAGTCCTTTATGGGTATTTAATTAATGATGCTTACAATATTGCTGTTTTATTTTTAGAATATTGTGTCTACCTTTTACTGTCAGCAGGTGTGGGAGCATACCAGTTAACCATGACCATAATCAAAGGCCGCATGTAACTATCTTGTAAGCTTCTTTCATTGGTTCAGCTGTGGTAAAACATCCTTTGTTTCTTTTGTGTAATGCATAATTAATTTTTACTGTGTTACTATGTTGTTTACAGTGGAAAAGAAGAAGGAAACAATAACGGAGTCAGCTGGTCGACAACAAAAAAAGAAAATAGGTAAGATGAGATTGGTATACAAAATATTGAAGTTTCTTGGAAGAAATAAATTCTTAGATAATGAAAATGTAATAAAGTATTTAGTAGTGGTAACTTATGTTTGTATAGTTTTATGGTCTACAAAGCACTTGCATATGTTATCTTACTTGATTCTCTATTGTTTTTGCTCTTAGGTTTGAAATTTCAGTTTAGTGAAATGGTGTTGACAGTCATGGCTTTTGAACTTGGCTGAAGGTTCTTGGCATAGTTTGTAAAAGGATATTGTTTTTCTTATCTGAGATGATTATTTCCAGTTAAGTCTGAGTTACTTGTATTTATTGTTGCCATAACTTCCTTACTGAGAATTGACTGGTGATGGAGATCTACCAAGATGTAGGAAATTTTCTGCTGAGTAATTTTACCTAGTCTGCAAAATAATTATATGTTTTTGGTTTTCCAGTGTGATTTAGAATTTAATACAGAATGTAGTTCAGTTCCAAAAAGACAATTTATAAGTGACTGCCTGTGATTTGTATTTATACTTTATAATGCTTCCTGATTCTACAGTCAGAACAAAATGGCTTTGAAATTGTGTATTTGGCTCAGAAACTATGTCTCTATGCCTAGAGACATATGCTATTAAATCCTGGAAGATTACTCTACCAGGCTAGACTATACATGTGTTCTGTTCTGGTTAAAGCTTTTCAGTTTAGTGTAGGGGTATCAGATGTGTTCTAAATGGCCTATTCACTTAGTTCCATGGCAAGATGCTACTGTACATCTGCTCTGTATGTGTCAGTCACTCTGGTGGGCATTGGAGAAACAAAGTAGGAAAAAATTCTGTCTTTTAAGACAGGGGTCCCCAACCCCTGGACCACGGACCATTATGGGGCCACACAGCAGGGGGTGAGTGGTGGGTGGGTGAGGGAGCGAAGCTTCATCTGCCGCTCCCCATAACTCCTCATCGTATGCACTACCACCTGAACCATCCCCACACACACACCCCCGCCCTCCTCGTCTGTGGAAAAATTGTCTTCCACGAGACGGGTCCCTGGTGCCAGAAAGGTTGGGGACTGCTGTTTTAAGAGGTCTAAAGAGGAAAAACAGATCAATGCAGTGTTATACTTACTTTTTAGATATTCTGAGTGTCATAAAAGTAAAGAAGAAAGGATATCCAAACCAATCTAGAGGATCAGATTTTCTTTAAGAGATAATGCTTAAGCTGAATCTTGAAGCTTTAGTGTGCGTTAACTAAGTAAAAATATAAATAAATAAAATACTGGTCAGTTGAGTTCTTACCATCTGCAACACCCTTAAGTAAGCACTTGACATTTTTTAATTCTCTTAACAGTGGTATGTGGTAGTGAACAGTGTTACCTCAGTTTTAGAGATGAGAAAATTGAGGTTTAAGTAACTTGCTCTTGGTCATTCAGTGGTATGATGGATTAAGTCAGTGGCAGAGAAGGGGTTTGAACCTAGTCATTCATAACTTTAAGAATCTGCAGTTTTTTTAAATAAATTTATTTATTTATGTTTGGCTGCTGTGGGTCTTCATTGCTGCGCACAGGCTTTCTCTAGTTGCAGCGAGCGGGGGCTACCCTTCTTTGCAGTGCACGGGCTTCTCACTGCGGTGGCTTCTCTTGTTGTGGAGCACAGCTCTAGGCACGCGGGCTCAGTGCCTTGCAGGCTCTAGAGCACAGGCTCAGTAGTTGTGACACACGGGCTTAGTTGCTCCATGGCATCTGGGATCATCCCGGACCAGGAGATATCAGAGAAGTTGCAGATTGGGATGAGGAAGAGGAGAGGATGATTTCAGGTTTGAACATGTTAGATTTGCAGTGTCTGTGTGACAATAGGGCGGAAATACTTGGTATACTGTTGGATGTATGGTTTGGAGCTGGCAGAGAGATAAAGGCTACAAATAGAATAGAATCATATGATTATAAATTATAATTGAGTCCACAAAGTAAATGAAATCACACAGGGAGACCATATAAAGTAAGAAAAGCAAAGAGCTAAGGATGGAGAGAGTCTTGAGACATAGAAATTTGAGGGGTAGAAGAAGAAGTAGAGCTTGAAAAGGTATTGCCAGAGAAGCTGGAAAGTAGTTGTGTCACGGAAGTTGAGGGGAGAGTTTCAGAGGACAGGAAGGGTTAGAGGCTGGGTGTTAAATATCTAAGACGCAAAACAGAGATAATTAGTGATTTAGCAAGAATAATTTCAGCGGCCTGATAAGGGATAGAAGCCTGATTGTATAGATTAGGGAGATAATGCATGGTGAGGAAGTAAAGACATTGAACATGGGTAATTCTTTGGAGTAGCTTTGCTATAAAGGATAGGCAAGATATAAAAATGGAAGGCACATTACCCACTACCTTTAAAATTGACAACACAAATTATCTATACTCAAATTATTTTACCATGGAATGCCACCTTAAATTGTTTGCTCACCAAAATGTCATCAGAAGGTAAAAGAAATAATATTTATGAAGAGTTGCTTATCAAAATCTAATAGGAGTTACAAGACATAATATTTGTTAGGAGTTGCTTGAAGGACAAACATCCTATCCATTCTGTAGATTTATAAATTTTACTCCTAAATTAAACCAGACTATCAGAAATCTGTAAACCTAAATAAACTTGTATATAGTTTTGGACTTTATAAAATTGCTTCTCCTCTATTTCTCCTTGACATTTGCACTATTAGACATGTCGTGAAAAACTCAACCAGATAAAATTTACTGTAGTGCTGCTATGGACTATTTTTGAGAACATTATCTACAACATTGCACGATACCCCTTTGACGAGAAATTATGGAAACTTTCTAGTAGTCTTCAGTGTCGAGACAAGCAGTGATTCTCATAAATAATTGATTTTTTTTTTATCTTATTGACCCTGTGCTTGAACTGATGGTTTTTCCCTCCAATTTGAGACTGGCTGCTAATAAGCATAGAGTCAGATTTGCTATTCATCTCCAGCAACTTTATAAGACCAGTTAAATGAATTTTTGTATATTGACCCTATCTACAATTTTGTTATTATGCAACCCTTACTTTCCCTTTGCTCAGATTCCCCACTTGGGTTTCTTTAAAATTGTGTGTGTGTGTGTGTGTGTGTGTATGACTTCCCTGGTGGCACAGAGGTTAAGAATCCACCTGCCAATGCAGGGGACACGGGTACAAGCCCTGATCCAGGAAGATCCCACATGCTGCAGAGCAGCTAAGCCCGTGCGCCACAACTACTGAGCCTGTGCTCTAGAGCCTGCGAGCCACAACTACTGAAGCCCGCGTGCCTAGAGCCCGTGCTCCACAAGAGAAGCCACCGCAATGAGAAGCCCGTGCACCGCAACAAAGAGTAGCCCCCGCTCCCCGCAACTAGAGAAAGCCCGCGAGCAGCAACGAAAACCCAATGCAGCCAAAAATAAGTAAATAAATTTATTTTTTAAAAAGCAAACATATATATACAGTAATGGGGAGACTATAAAGAATGATATTGCTGCATTTAAAGAAGGGAGTTTTTAGTAAGAGGAGTGTGGTCAGCAATATTCAGTGTTTTAGAGAAGCAAAATGTCATTGATATCACTAGGTGAAGCTCTTACAGATAATGGTCTTGGGTAGAGACATTAATTTGAAACTGAGGTGTCTGAAGATTTTATGTTTCCCATTCTTAATTTCAGGAGCAGATGTTTTGGTTATTTTACGTTTCCGTCTCATAAAAGAGAAACTACTTTTGATGTATGAATTTTATTTAGATCTTTTGGCTGCAGTCAAGTTACTTCAAGTAATGAGGAATTTAAGGATATATGTGATGCAGAACTCAGGAAAAGCTGAACTAATTGGTTATAGAAAGGCAGGAACTGTGTTAAACCAATTCCTGCAGGCAGAGCAAGCGCTGGGATAAAGCCAGACATTGGGCTCCACTATTAACTTTTAGTACTTCTCTCTCTTCTGTTCTTCAACTTCCCCACTTTCTCTGCAGTGCTTCCCTAGCATTTAATTTTTGCCTGTGCCTAACTTTGGCTTGTCTCCTGTGGTTCTTTCTATATCGGTATTACTCATAATGTGCTCTCTAGACCACCTATATCAGTATTGCTTGAGATACTTGTTACAAATGAAGGGTTCTGAGTCTTACTCCCAGGGTTTACCGAATCAGCATTTCTGGACATGAGACACAGGAGCCTGCTTTTTTAACAAGCTGCCCAGATAATTTTTAGACGAACTAAAGTTCAAGAGCCAGTTCTACATTACTGTTTTGCTGTTTCTGCTCCCACAGTTAAATGATTTACTTTCCCAATATTTTCTGGTTTAAATTCCTGCAAGAAGGAATCCAACTAGCTCAGCTCATCTTTTTATGCCGTAGGTCATGGGTAAGCCTATGGATTGACCTCCTTTTTGGTCAGTAGTGGCAGGGCAGGGGATGTTAGGAATCTTCATAAGGTTGAACCTCAACAGAGACTATGATGAGAGGGAGATATTCCCCAGAAGGTGGCCAGAGAAGGGAGAGCAGGCATTCTGAAGCTTTGCTGAATGGGGTGTGTATCTCCTTTCTTGGTGACTTGGAAATATGGGAGGACATTTTTTTTTTTTTTGAAATTTACTAGGGGCCCTGAATTAATATATTTATTCTAGATGTTTATCTATGCTATTTGGATTTTCTATAAAAGAAGGCTGTAGCAGGCATTTCATTTAAATTTTGCTTCTCCCAATCTACATGAAATTTTAAAGGCATGTTATTAATTGGTCTTCCATTCAGGACAACTCAGAATATAAAAATATCATGGCATACCTAACTCTTTTAATCTATAGAGAAGCATCTGCTATTTTGATCATCTCTTCCTTATTTGAAAATATTCCCCATCTCCCAAACTGTCGGTTTGATCAGACTACCAAGTTGCCCCTTGAGTACTTTAATTGATTTATATTCTTTGACAGAAAAGTCACTGGTTATTTATTTTTTATTTTTTTAATATTTTTGGCTGCATTGGATCTTTGTTGCTGTGCGTGGGCTTTCTCTAGTTGTG